GAATAGAATATGTAATCTTTGTGAGGAATCAATTTGTAGATCATGGTTTATGTTTATTTTGTTTTATGGCATATCAACCTCAATAGGTTATTTAATGGTGACAAGATTTTTAATGAACAGAATATTTATTCTTTATAAGAAATCAGTTTGTAGACCAACTTTCATTGATGTATTTTTGTAAAGAGGGTTTTCTCGAGAGTTAAATGTATTGCTGACAATATTGTTTTATATGTATTGCTGGTAATTTTTTTGTTTCAAAAATGTAGTCCTCGTAATAATTTTTTGTATGTATTACTGGTAATCATTTTGTCTAAAAATTATTGCTGATGTTTTTAATACAAAAATCTATTTTTCATACTTTCATAGTGTTTTAACATCAGTTTTGGGGGGTTAACTATTTACCCATAGCTGGGATCACGTCAGGGTGGATCTGGGAGCAACATTAATTAAGAGGTGGTTCCACGCTGCTCAAAAACTCCTGTTCAGAGGCCTTGCTGCTGGATGTAGTTTATCGTCATACCCAAGACGCAGTAATATTCAGTGCATGGATGGATGGTAGATTTGTAATTATATGTTTACTATTTTATTATTATAATAGCTATATTAACTTGAAAATCATTCGATGTAAACAAATTGATAGTAATTTATATAGACTAAATGACAAAGGTTTATGTAAAACATTCAGATTTTCAACAAGGAAGTTTTTTTGACACACCTGGAATATCACAGCAGTTATACAAGCAATCACGAAAAAAAAAGAAACTGAAAATAATATTTTTAATATTTATTTCTTAGCACTTCATTTTTTAAACTAAACTAGAGGAATCTGATATGGAAATATTTTCAACCGCTGGCCTCTATAGTAAAAAGCATATAAAAATTGTTTGGTATAAGTTTGTTACTGGTTCGTAAACTGATATTATGATGTAGTAAAAAATCGAAAATAATATTTTTAATGTTTATTTCCTAGCACTTCATTTTTTAAACTAAACTAGAGGATTCTCATATGGAAATATTTTCCACTGCTCACCTCTTTAGTTAAAAGCATATAAAAATTGTTTGGTATAAGTTTGTTACTGGTTCGTAAACTGATATTATGATGTAGTAAAAAATCGAAAATAATATTTTTAATGTTTATTTCCTAGCACTTCATTTTTTAAACTAAACTAGAGGATTCTCATATGGAAATATTTTCCACTGCTCACCTCTTTAGTAAAAAGCATATAAAAATTGTTTGATATAAGTTTGTTACTGGTTCGTAAACTGACATTATGATGTAGTAAAAAATATCAAAGGGAGGTAACAAATCAAGCTAACTTATATGGCTGCTGCTGCTGCTGCTGCTGAGCTACTACCGGATTAAGGAACAAACAAAAGCCAACTTGACCATTAAAAACTGTGTATATAATTTAGTTTTATGGTCAAAATAAGTTTTATGATTAGGGTTAACTGTGACAAAAAACAAAAAAAAAATTAAACGATTTCTCTTCATAATTATAAAATTAAAAGTATATGCAGTAATAAAAATTCAGCGAATATATTTTGTTGTTCTTGGTCTTTCCTTATTTGAAAAACATGTTATTTAGTTTGAAGAACTTTTTGTTTGTTAGTGACCCTTCTAAGAACTATAGAAAATACCAAAATTTTCGTTGTTTGCAGGGATATTTACTTATTTTTACACAGGTTTTTTGAATCTTTTCAATACTCAAAATCTTATATCGCCCACAAAAATTTCCAATCGCCCACTATTTTCTGCTCAGTCGCTAATTACCCACACAGCAGCTGAAATCGCCCACCACTACATTTCAGACGTATGTGAAACGAAACATATCCATTATAGTTTTATATGCACGGAAAACATAAAATACAGAAGCGAAAAGTTTTACTGTACGCTAGACAACACAAAGGCTTAACCCTTTGAACTCTGAGTTTCTAAACAAATCTAACCTTTCTGCCTGGGCTCCTGAGTCAAAATTTGCAAATAATTACTATGTAATGTTTCACCACAGGTTTAAAAATTGTTACAAAGAATATAAGCATCATACTTAACAGGGAGTGTGTGTGTGTGTGTGTGTGTGATTGCATGGCTTCACTTTATCGCTTGAAATATTTCTTTGTGTTCCAGTCTATCCAAATAAGACAACCGATAGCAAAACACGACGCAGATGTTTACGCACCTTTCAACCGGTGGATGGGCAGTAAGTCATTTTTTCTCTACCACCGGTAAAGCGGCAGTCAGGGCTCAAAGTGTTAAGAAGAAGATTTTTCACAAGAAATTTGGGAACTGAATCCCATCGTAGGCAACGAACGAGATGATGAAATAGTTGGCAAATTCGAACTAGGAACACATCATGAACGCGGAAAAATGGCTCCACTAGTGTACGGCTGCGACCAGTGAGCAGACACCAGCAAGAGGAATATAAAGATAGAGAAACCCAGGAGAAGAAACAAAAAACAAATTGACTACATAACTACCAACAAGAGATACAGGAACAGAGTTGCACACTGCAAAACCTGTCTATATCTCTGAAATGAGGTATTATGATTGCTTGTATTATTTACATTATTCTGACTTTTATCCTCATCTTGATTGCCATATTCACAACGTTTTGGCTGTTGTACGCTCCGACCTTCTTCAGGTGATTGGTATTTCGAACCGAACCCTTTTATTTCGTCTTTCCCAGATGAGTCTCTGCCCTTAAGCATAGGCTTGTCTCTGTTCCTCTGCACCCGAATGCATAGAGTTCGACAAGCACTAAGAGCTTACAAAAGCGGTTAAGACCTAATGCTAACTAGGTATTTATCCGAGCCCCAAACAGATTGGAATTTGGCACAAGTCCAGTTTTTTAACGTGGAGCGTTTTGAGCTCGTCGGCTGGGGCAAAAATACCCCATAGACCCAGTATAAACGAGGCCGGATTTTTCTACTTCCCCAGACGTGACCCTGCCCATCGGCATACGCATTTTTGAGTTTCTCTCCGCCTGAAGGCAGAGTTCGACAAGCACTAAGAGCTTAGCGCACGTCAAAGACCTAATGCTAACTTGGTATTTACCCGAGCTCGCCACAGAGCGGGGTGTCCGGTTTTTTAACGTGGGGCGTTCCGA